CTGAAGGCACCTCGCTGAGTGGCTGGGAGAAGGACTGGGCGGGAGATGCCGCGGACAAGAGGCGACCAGCGCTTGGGAAGGCATCGGCAAACAGCGGCTTACGGTGGGAGCAGGCGGCAAGCAGGTGTACCCTGCAGATCAGCATGGCCATTCCCAAACGGACACGGGGCTGCCTGGAAGGACGCCAGCCGCAGAGTCCCACCCCGCCAAACGGACACGGGGTGGCCTGGAGGGGCGCCAGCCGCAGAGTCCCACCCCGGGTCTGTGGCAGCGGCGGTTCCCACTCGTGGCACAGCTGGTTTCTGATATCCCCCCTAACAGGTACGTGGGGCCAAGGGAGGCCCCACACCTACAGAGGTATAAACTGAGTGCGTACTAAAAAACCAACCAGTGACTTAGTCAGATGAGACCTTCCCAAGAATTGCTGCCTCTAGCACATAATAATAGGGTAAAAAATAAATACATTAATTAAGACAAAAAATCCAAACCCTAAATTCCCAGCACAACCCCTCCAAACAATCAAACAAGGGCAAGGGCAGTCAATTCTCCAGACCTCCAGACTTAACTACAGTACAGAGATGAATTTGGCTCAAATTAATTCACTTTTATTTTGGCGAAGAAATGCCAAGACAGATTTTCATTGCATATTAACTTTATCAGTTCGCGCCTCAGAGTTAAGTTATGGCGTGCAATGCACTTGAGAATAACGGCACTCTCCTTTTGAGGAGAGAGGAGTACTTGTGGTGCTCCAGTGGCTCAGGGACATCTTGTTATAAGGCTGGTAGCACAAAGATGAAAATAAAAGGATTCCCCAAAATTTTGCTGAATAATTTTTCAGGTTAAAACAAACTCACCCATTTTCCCCGTACTTTTCCACCTTGCAAATCCATGTGTTTGTTTACAGAGGGATGAGTAGTGTTTCACAGTTCAGCCTGATGTGGATGCTAAGGAGCTCCTCCCCAGGGAGCCCCATTTCAACAGCTGAACCTCGTTATCTTAATGCCCTCTAGTGTTGCCTCGGATTATAGCATGTTATTTGCTCAGCTTCTCCAGCTGTTAGCTGTAACTAAACCATTTCTAGCACTTGCAAAACGCCACGTTCCATGAAAAAACCTTTGTGTGGGTGATTGATTTTAAGTGCATGACAAGTCCCATTAATTTTTTCATTTGCTGGATTTCTTTTTTCTATTTGCTTAGCGTTTTGCGGGGTCAAAACACAAAAGACGAAAATGACCTGTATAAAGGCATTACCAAGAAATTTGCCCAAATATCTGGGCCTACCTGGCTCCTCTCTCTCCCTCAGCCCTGAGAGAGCGTGATGGCTGAGCTGGCTGTCGTTTGCAACCCACCAGCTGGCTCTCACTTTCTGTCACTACAAGAAGGGAGCAAGCCAGCAGCAACAGATTCAGAACACCACTAACAAACTTTCCGTTCATGCTCACAGTTCTGGGTAAGGGCTAGCTTTAACTAGAGAAAGCAGACTTAACAGACAGCTGTCCATACTTTTTCTGCAGTCAGGTTACAGAGAGCAACGTGTAATGGTAGATGCATGCTTGGAAGAATTAAGCAATAAAATGCTCCTAGGGTGAACGCACCAGTTCCCGCAAAATTGCCAGGCTACAAGAAGCAAGTCTTCTGCTGTGAAATAAGTTATACCAGTGGCAGCAGCTAGATGAGGTGTTTTGCTAACAAGAATCATGCTAGTTACAAATCTCACCCCCGCACATCTCCAGCCAACATCACTTAGCATGGACCTGTCCTATCTGCAACGTTAGCAAGATATTTTTAACGCATTTGTAGCGCCTGACACCTCGTCAGCTCCAAATGTTATTTGCCAGAAAGTTTTTAGCTTGCTTCATGTAGAAAACGATGCAGCTTAATTCCCCCATTATGAAGAAATAAGGTATGAGGAAGAAAGGGTATGGGCCTAACAGCATGTGACCGCAGAGAGGTTTCATTTCTTTTGGCTGTAGTCAGAATTTCACACAGACACACATCCAAACAAGCTGCTCATTTTCTTTCTCTGACAGAAGCGCAGGGGTACAGTGAGCATTAAGAAGTGCTTAGCTTTTCCTTTGAGCTTGACCTTATCAGTCTAAATGCACTTTTTTTAGTTCAGCTTCTTTGAAATGGATACCACATTGTCTGTGCTGGCTGCCAAGCTGAGTGGTTAGGCTCTTTTTTAAGGCTCATGGTGCCAGGGACCGGCTCAGCAGGCTGCTGATGCTGAGCAGCTGCTTCACTGAAACTAGCTCTCTTGCCACTAAATGCAGCAGCAAAAACAGACACTGAGAAGCGCAGCACTTTCTAACCACAGAGTTGGCTACGCACAGTAAGACTTGAGCTGGTATGGGCTTGGTATGAGAATCCACCTGTCACACAGGAGTTTTCTGACTTGTGAGCTAGGTGTGCTCTGCAGTAGCAGTTTGCTTGCTTTTGCGGTCAGATCAGTCTGAAGCCTTAAGAAAAAACGAATAGAACACAAAGGTGTGACACTGTATCTGTGAGCTTAAAAGAAGGAAAAACTGTGAACGCTTCATTTGCTAAGAACAGGTGGTATTTCCTATACATTACGGCAGGTATCGTGCCATGGAGGAACTGAATTGTCAATCACCTCTCAATATGTAGCTACGATATATGTTTGTAGGCTTGCTAGAAGTACTTGCAGTGCTCACCAGTACGAAAGTGGGATGCCAGTGCACATAGAAGGGTCTTATTTTCAGACATGCTTAGGTAATATAAAAATACTTTTCAAAGGCTTTAATCTAGTAAATCTGAAAGTCAAGAGAGCTTGTGAGGTTTGTAAGTCCTTTTTACATAAGGGTTATTTGCTGTGCCAGCCTTTTTTTTCTTTTTATTTGCATGCAAGCCAGAATCATCAGTGACCGCAACGTCAGTACTGTGCATGGCAGAGATGAGATACTAGTTCATACACGTGTACGTAAACATTTTTCAGTTAATCTTATTTGGGATCTTTGTTGATGTTCTTAGTCATGAGAATAAACAGTTGTGCTTCACCCCTCTCATGGTTCTGCCCTTTTGGGTAGGAAGAAGTTGCTCATTTGCACATGTTCTCAAGTGCACAGGGGTTATGACCAGCGCAAGCAGCCCATCTGCTCACTTGGCAGAATCAGTTCCTTGCTTGGTTTGCTGTAATGTGAAGTTGCTGTTTTCAGTCAAAGTTGCAAATTTACATAAAATATCTCCCAACTTCTGTTCAAGAAAAATGTGATCAAAGATTTTTAAGTTATTGTCTATTTTGGATATAATGTTTCACTGACAGGCTTGCACTTACTCCTTTTCATGCTGTTTTTACTGTGAAACTTCTATGTAAAAACATGGGCATTCACATTCTATGAAATCAGCCTGGTGTTTTGTCAGGATTAGCTGAAATATAAGATTCAGTTTTGGATTGAAACCAAAACATTCTGGTGTCTCTGGATGAATAACTGTACTTCCCACAAAGTCACAAGGGGCAGAGAAATCCTGTGAGATTGGAGTTTCTTCGCATACTACAGACCCACTGTACATAGACACTACAGTCCTGTGGAAAATCCAAAGATTTCCTATGCACATACATATATACTTATGAGTCAATACTGGGTATACTTCATCCCCTCCCTAAACTGTCTCAAAAAAGAAAGCACAATTTTGAAAGTTTTGAGTGGTAAGTCTGTGGCTGGACTGATACATTAGCCACCTTTTTACATTGTATGGAGCCCACCAAATTTCCAGAGGCTTACATGCTTAGTATTAAAGTTCCAAAGTAGTTTACAATGATATAATTATATCCAAGAAGTAGTAGATTAGGGACAAATTTATTTGGTTAACCTAGGGATATGTAACAAGAAATGTACACAAAGGGTAAATATTTACATATTTTTCTCAAGTTTATAAAACAAAAAGTAAAATGAAAGCAGCTTCATAAGATGCAGGAAAACGGTTGCTACTTTAAGGAAATGCCTAACTATGCTTACGCTAAATCCAACCACAGAGCAAAAGGAAGCAAACAATTTCCACGACTGTCAAACTGTTTTCAGTGTACATTTCCTTCCCTCCTAGCGTGTAATACTAACCCTTGCGAAAGTAATGGTCTCTTCTGACTAGCTAAAAATAAACCACTGTCATGAAACAAAATATCACTGCATTGAAAAAAAGTTCCAATTAAGTCATAAATCTAAAAACCAATCCCCAGCATACAACTACAGGAAGAGCATGGGGAATTTTTCTGCCAGCAAGATGAAGCTGTTTCTTGTAGTTTTAAGATTTAACCTGTTTTTTTGTGGAAAAAAAAGCAACCCTCCCCAATATAATATTAAACAAAATGAGAATGTATCTGAATATGCCATATCGCTTGGGAGGGACTGAAGACAGCTTTTATCCATTGCTGTTCCTGGCAGATCACTGTTGCAAATCCTACATTAAACTAACTGCTACCTAATCTGATTTCCATTTTCCTGTTAAACAAATCTACACATTTGTCTCTAAAACTGATTTCCTGTTATTTGACTTAGGAATCTTTTGTAGTAAAAGAAAGCTACAGAATGAAGTTAGCTGTTAGGCTCTACATTACAGCAATTTTAGCAGATATGGATACAATGTAAAATATAAAAATCATCCAGACTTAGCGGAGATAAAGGACATTTCCAAGACCTAATCACATGCATGACGACTAATCACACGCAGGAAAACACACTTGCAAACTGCAAAACAGGATGCTGAATACTGCTTCTTCTCTGGGGTGCCATTCAACATTGATTTATTGTGAAATTTGGGTCTAAAAATACCACGGCTGTTGCAGTCCCAGGCAAGGTGCTGGGAGTATACTAGGGGGAGGAACACTGAAAGAAAAGCTTGTTCTAGTTGCTGAAAATTATTTTCTGTGACAAATGTCAATAGCTGCTTTTCATACAAAGTGTTTTGAAGTGGAATATATAAAAATGTAAAATAAATAGTTTCAGGGCCTAATATGCAAAATAATAAAAAAAAGTTTATGGATAATTCCACAAATAAAAACAAATAGGAAAAAACATTGCTTGGAAAGATATTTTCACTTTGGTCATGAATTAGCAGATAACTAGTTCCATAAATGAGAATCTAGTCAACCTGACAAAGTTTAAACCCTTAAAATAGGGTTTCATAAAACCCTTGCAATAAATTGAATTAAAAATTTTAAAGGATTTGGTTAAAAAAAGTAACTTATTTGAAAAACACTCAACTGCTTTTATTAAAAAATTATTTTTCTGTTCTAAATTAACTTATATACATACACTATACACGCATAGTGTTGAATTGTGCATTACTAGAACGAATCCGCAGAACTATGTATTATACAACAACTTGATCTAAGGCTTTGCATAACTTATATACATACATACACTATACACGCATACAGTGTTGAATTGCGCATTACTATAACGAATCCACAGAACTATGTATTACACAACAACTTGATCAAAGGCTTTGCATTTATTAGATATAATACTTTTTTTTCCCCTGAAATTGTCTAAAAATTAAGCAAGTGTAAGAGATATTTTCTCAATGCATTGCTAGCAATTTCCTGTAGACACTGTTATTCACATTACTGGAGCAAGTATCCCTTCTACTAGTGGTTGACATTGACTGGCCACTGCCGCTACTACTGTTAGGATCAAAAGTCTCTTTACAACTGAAGATAGCGAAAAGTTGCCTCTGATATTGAGAAGAAGCATAGTAGTAAATAAAGGGATCAATGCAACAACTAACGCTGCTGATACAAACACAGAGTAGATAGGCAAAGTAGAGATACTCTAAACTGTTGTCATAAGAAAAATGTATATAATGAATTAATAGGAGGACATTTGTTGGTCCAAAACAAATAACAAAAACAGAAAAAACAGCTACACACAAGAGCAAGGCACGTTTCTTCTTATTTTCTTTTGCCACAATACTAGAAGAACTAAGACATCGAATGATACACAGGTAACAGACGGTAGATATTATAAATGGCCCTACAAAGAAAATAGAAGAGAAGATGGAGAAGAAATGGAGGTAATAGTTGTGAAGTTCAGATTCTTTTAGTACATCATGACAGGTCGTTATATTTAACTTGGGTATTTCCATAGCTTGCTCTCTGACGAGAAAAGGTATAACCCCAGCTATTGCCACAAGCCATATGATGATACAAGTCACTGAGGCACGTGTTAACGTACGCCATGAAAGAGAGTGGATGGGATACACCACTGCTAAGAAGCGATCAAAGCTTATGCTCGTCATAAGCATTATTGAACAGTACATGTTACAGTAGAAGGCAGCAGTGACGAAACGGCACATTTCAGGTCCAAATACCCAGTTGTTTCCAGAAAAATGATACGCAATCTTAAAAGGAAGCACGCTTACGAACAGTACATCGGCAATGGCCAAATTCAGCATGTATATTACAGCTGGCTTTTCGATTTTCATTTTTTTCAAAAACACAAGTATTGCTGTAACGTTCAGAGGGAGACTCAGCATAACCACTAACATGTAAACTGAAGGAACAAAACGCGTCAGCCATGGACTAGTGAGGTATCTTTCCGTTTCTGCTGACATTGGTCGTTGCGCATTTAGAGATGAATTCATTTGACTGACGGATCCTGATCCACCTTCTGTGACGTTTTCAGTACCATTGTCAATGTCTTCAATAGGTATAGGGTCATCACGGTTATTCAGGTCAGGCATTAAGAAAGTTCTGCCCCTTATGCGGCTGCTGTTATACACCATGGCTGAAAAATAAGAAAATATAAAGATTAATAAGCAAATATTTACATACAAAGGGGAAGGCAAAACATCCTGCAAAAAAGGAAAGCTAAGCTGGCATTAGCAAAAAAAAGCAATAAGGTCAGTTCCTTAATCAGAGCACCGACTGCCCACGTGTTTGTTCATCTCTTTTTGTCTTTGCTCCCTGTTACAAGTTTGGATAAGATATCCCTCATCTGCTATGTCTTCGCTTGTAAACTCTTTATGGCAGGACTAAACTCTATGCTTAGCAGCCCAATCTTTTCTACGTTCTCTATAACCTACCTTAATACAAATACAGCAATAAGTTTGCCACCTTCAGCTTTCTTGGCCAGAAAACATCCTGGATGCTCTGGAAACATCCTGCCCAATCCTACTGCAGCATCAAGACATGCCGCAGCAGTTTTCATACAGTTTTTCATTGTTGACATGAATCAGACTTTTACTTGCATCAAACGGGGCCACACATTTCACTTAAGTATTTTTTCCCAGTTCTACTTTATATAATACATCCGTGCATCTAGGAGAACCCTCGGGGCACTTCTGAAACCTGCCACTAGCATTCCCTGGCTGCGAGGGTGTCCTGCAGCAAGGGGTAGTGACCGTGGCAAAGAAGAAAGCGTCCAGAGAAGCATGGGTGCCTTTTGAATGTAGCTGTAAAAAGTCAGCAATTTTGTGTTACAGAGTGTTGTCAGTGTGCATATGGGCTTGCTTATGTAAAATGAACAAAAAAAAATCTGAAGAGCTACTTTAGACGCTATTTCAGCAAAGCAATTTGTATGGATTTTGTATGAGCCAGCAATATGCACTTGTGGCCAAGAAGGCCAATGGTATCCTGGGGTGCATTAGGAAGTGTTGCCAGCAGGTCGAGGGAGGTGATCCTGCCCCTCTCCTCAGCCCTGGGGAGGCCTCACCTGGAGTGCTGGGTCCAGTTCTGGGCTCCCCAGAGACATGGCACTCCTGGAGAGAGTCCAGCGGAGGGCTACCAAGATGATTAGAGGGCTGGAGCACCTCTCCTATGAAGAAAGACTGCAAGAGCTGGGCCTGTTCAGCCTGGAGAAGAGAAGGCTGAGAGGCGATCTCATCAACGTGTACAACTATCTGAAGGGAGGGTGTCGAGAGGATGGGGCCAGACTCTTCTCCGTGGTGTGCAGGACAAGAGGCAACGGGCAGAAACTGAACCACAGGAAGTTCCATCTAAACCTGAGAAAAAACTTCTTTCCTGGGAGGGTGACAGAGCACTGGACCAGGTTGCCCAGAGAGATTGTGGAGTCTCCTTCGCTGGAGATATCCAAAACCCACCTGGACGCGATCCTGGGAAATATGCTCTAGAGGACCCTGCTTGAGCAGGGGGGTTGGCCTAGATGATCTCCAGAGGTCCCTTCCAGCCTCAACCATTCTGTGAATCTGTGGATACTTACTCTGGAAGACCATCAGTTTTCAGATTTGACTTATCTACTTAGGTGCAGGATCATTCACATATGCTATAGGCAGGCAGAAGTGACCTCTATTTAAGTAATTGTTCATCTGTGTAGTCGCATAACTGATCCTTTTCTGACTCCTACACTATTAAAATAAAAATTAAGGTGTGTTAGCTTATATCATTTAGCTGAAAGTACTTCACCACGATCCACCTGCCTAATGAGGCTATTTCAAGTTAGCAATTGTTTGCTCTACAGTAATTCAAACCTGTTTGTTAGACAGATGAGAATAACTGGTAACTAAAGTAACTTAAGGATTCTTGTGGCAGAGACAGAGCGGCTGCAGCTTTAAGCACCCAGCTATCACCTTGTGTGATCAGGTTGTGGGAGAGGGGCCTTATCCAGTGTGAATTTTGGTAAAATTCAGTCTTGGCTGATGAATGAGATCAGAGAAGTGACATACATATTTTAGGATTTTTAGTTTTAAAAGCTGCTGTACTATAGGTATCATGATGTGTCACGGCAGCATTCTAGGGGAACAACAGAAGGAGTGTGTTTGAAACAATGGTTTAGTGTGCAACATGGCTAGATTGCGACCTTTACAGGCCACAAAAAGGACACTGGATGAGAACTCGAGTCTGGGAGCTTGTACAGACTGAACTATTTAGTGTAGACTACTGAAACCAAAATGGCACAGAAGTATGTGGGATTCAGTATGCAGTGTTTGCAGAGAAGGGCACTAAGCCAAGTTGTAAAAGGTCCTACCCTGCATTTTAAAAGAAAACATTAACAAGAGGCAAAACTACAGAACCTTACTCTTTATTTTAAAAGTTTAGTCTGAACAGTTGGATAGCTTCAGGAGTCAGCTGTTAGTTCAGCAGTTCAGATGCAGCATAAATTATATTTAACACCTCTAGCTTTAGCCATCATCCAAGCATTACTCTGTGGCTAACACTGAATACTTAGGTGATTTACAATACTTAATGATTACTGAAATTGAAACCTGTCACAATTGACACCATCGGCATTGGTGTCTGTTGGGAGGATCATAATTATATTTGCATGAAGAGGAAGCTAATTTATCATGCTTGGAGGCAAGTCTCCATAGTAAGGCAGAGAGACATCAGGGGAAAACGCCTGGGTAGTACCCCTGTACTGTATCTGTGGTACCCACTTGCTTTATGAATTCAAGACTTTGAAGGCTCTGAACACGCATTTCCTCCATTCCCATATCTGGAATAGAACATTTCTGAAACAGTCGACAATGATGATCCCAGTCCCTGAAGCTCGGCACATCCTTCTCAATTCCTCCAACAGCAAAGAACAATGTGGAGAACCAAAGGAAGAGGTGACATGGTTTTATGCAAGGAAGGCACAATCTGGCGGAACACAGTTCTGAGTAGACTCGATGACAGAGAGGACAGACCTGGGTTTGGAGAAGGGGACCGCGTTACCAGGATAGCTCTGCATGCCAGGGAAAACGAGCTGCTTCTTGCATTAGCCCAGTATCCCTGAACTTTGAAGGGCTTCGCTTGTGCTCCTGCCTCACCTTACCTAGCGCTGCTGCAGGGAAGCCACAAGAGAAGTTCTGGTGTGTCTCACTTGCTGAGCACTAGCGTGCAAACTGGCAAGAACTGCAGAACCTTAACGATTTGGGACTAAGTCACTTCCCATGAAAATTCTTGACCGTAATATGACCCCGCCCCCACAGTGATTCATTAGAACAACACGAAAATATACCATAGGAGAAAAATGATGATTGGTTGAGTCAGCTTTTATCAAACAATCGACCTTTGTCATAACTATCGTTTATAATAATAGTTACTTACAACACTGCTAATAATTCTAATTATATCCTGACCTCTTAAAGCAAGCGTATTTACAAGATGTGTTTTATATGGAAGTTTTTAAACTCCGTGTTATTCCATTATCAAACATTTAAAAAAGCAGAATCCTATTACACTAACTCGGGACAAAAAAATTCACAAGTAATTTTAATATAATTAAAATCCTCAGAAATAATACTTTAGTTCAGGGAAAGCCATAACCTACTCTTTGTATAAGCGAAGATGTTCTAAGTTCAGAACTGACCTCAGCCTGGACGCTGTTAACACCACCTCCATACTGTGTACTGTGACGGACCATGTCTCTATCTTGAGCTTAGATGACATGCAACGTACTACCTGGGAGTCAAGTCTACAGAAAAAAGGGAATTCATCTATTAAAGCTAACTAGCTACCACCAACACTAAGCTTAAAGATAAGGAACCTCAAATTTGCCATTTGTTTGCCACATCGTAACAGAAGCAGCAGAAATTTAAAGACTTTCATAATGAAATTCAATTTAATTTTAATATAAGGAGCACAGCCAAATTTCTTTTTTTAGCTTGTCAACATCATTTCTTTCAAATGCACAGCATCTGTATATTATTACACAAAACAATAATGCACTTAGTTACTACCCTGAGGTTCTGAATTCCTTTTGTGTCAGTGTTTATTTTGACAGAGCCAGTAATCTGAGCTTTATATACAGATGGGAAGAGCATGAAATGATGTTTAATTATTTCAAAAGATCTTAATGGACCTTGACAATAAACATATAAAGATTAGCAACAGGAAACAGGCTTCTGCTATAAACTGAGATATTACAACAGAACTAAGAAAGACACAGTAGGTCTACAGAGAAGAAATGATTTGAAAACTACTCTTTAATAGCTACAGCTATACCAGAATCTTGTGTCAGAAATACCTTTCTTGTTGTTTGAAAGCTGTAGATATTATTTGTCTCTAAAATATATTTGACTACAGCTTAAGCAATTTTTAATAATACCAAGCTGTTAAGAGAACAAATGCAAAGTTTTAACAGCGTAATAATCATAAATACTCAAACAGTCATCCTATTTTCACTAGGTTGACATTCAGTGCCTTTGGAAGAGACCTCATCAATTATTAGAATAATAGAATTCTCACTGCTGATATGATAGAATTCTCACTGCTGATATGACAGCATTAATAGCTGTATCAAAGTGCTTGTAAAATATAAATAGGTACAGTTTACTAACAACTAAGAAAGAACAGGATAAAACATTCAGGTTTTATTACGATGGTGTGCAGGCAGGACACTCGACTACACACAGTCTTTCCTTTGCTCCTATTAAGAACTTGAAAAGTCAAAAGTTCAATAGAATCAGTACGATATTCAGCAAGCCTAAAGTTCTCTTTTATGGCCTGGAGGCTTTGCCCTGATTCTCCAACAAGGATTTAGAGAAGTGATGTAGAGATGTCATTAACCTTGAGATTTTTTGATTTGAACAATCTATACAGTGCTCTTTTCCATCACATGCTAAATTTTGTTGGTCTCCTGATCAACATATGCACATTATGCTCATCCTGAAAGGCACTGCTTTTTTATGCAGAGCTGTTTTGCATTCATTTTACATCTACTTCCATATGTAAGAGGCTACTGTGTGTACTGTTCTGTGAAAGAAAAAGCTGACAGCAAAAAATAAAGGACAAGTTCCAGTTGGCACCCGGTCACACAAAAACTAGTATTGGCACAAAGGAAAGGGTGGAAACGTGTGGCCAGGGTAGGCACAAAAGCTTAGGCTTTCATCTTTTGACAATGGCATGCACATATAACAGCTCCAGCCAATCTTAAACTGCACTCCGCATTTCCTGAGGGCCAGAAGAAAATTCTGAAATATTTCTGTAGACCCATAAATTTGGCTAGCACTTAAAAAACAGCCATGTTCATGTGCCAGGGGATATTTTTGTGAGGTGGAAAAAACAAACATTAGGCTCTGGCTCAAGCCAATTACATGTATCCTTTCTTAAGTGCCACTGGACAATTATTAATACTGATTTATGAGCATTACTGATGACAGCTGCATTCATACCATTGGCTTAAATGAAAAGGCCATTCCTTTTATCTCCCCTTTGCATAATCCTGCGCTGATGAACATCTAGAATCTAAACTACTAAGTGGCCCATAAATTAGTTACTCACAGTGAGAAGTGGAAGCCAGACACATTTACAAACAAGGTGAGACCCAGTCCTGTAGGCTAGATGACAATTACTTGCTTTTGTAACAACAAACATCATATTTTCTTTTTTTAAAAAAAGTTTCTTTAGCCCATTCCTTCCTTTAAACTACTTGTGCTGCCTGAGTGATGTATTAACAATTTTGCATGTTTTCCTAAAGAATCATTTTCTTGCAGCCAGGTGCCTGGCCCTTTTTGCTCTCCTTCCTTTCCTCTTCTCAATAGTTTTTGACCACAGTTGCCCGATTCAAGCAATCTCTTCCTCTATTTACCCAGCTGCCAGCGCCCCACCACAGAAAAGTCTGGGCAAGTTCAGTCCTTAGCAGGCCTGCCTAGCCTTGAAGACGCAGGATCTGGTGAGGCGATCAGCAAGCATCTAGTGCCAACTCAGCCGCTGCATTTTGCCCCCCAGCAGGTCCAGTAGAGATCACTAAACTGAGAACTAAGGACAGTGAAGGGTCTAGGAAAAAGTGGGGGAGTGGTTGCAGGTGCTGTGAGAGTGAAGTGCAGGCCTGGGGATACAGCAGTGCATGTCAGGGGGAATTAAATACATAGCAGTGGAAAGGAGGAGTTATTTGGGACCCTGGGAAAATGACATTCCAGCGGGAGTGGGTGTAGGGAGAACAGAACGCATGTTTAGATGGTCAGGTTTCATTACTTCTACTGCTCTTGAAATTAATCGCTTTGACTTTCTCTTTTCTTAGTGGCGGTGATGTCATACATCAACTATTTTGATCGTCACTTCCTAAGGAAGCATCAAATAAACAGTATAATTGGGGGGGGGTGCTCTTTAATGAAGACTATAACAGCAAAAGGCAGGAAAACAAGCGTGAATGTTTCCATAAAATGGAAGAATTGCATTCAAAGGAACAATCTGGCTCTATTATTAACCTGTATGGTTTGTAATTACCCCTTTCTTTTTTTCTTTTCTTTTTTTTTTTTTTAAGGGCACCCATTTGTCCTTGTGCCGAGATGTTTTTTAGCCTAAATAATTTTCCCTCTCTGATATTCCCCTCCTGGCATAATTACAAAGACTAGCTATGTCACCTCTCCACCTTCATTTTAGTAGATTAAACGTGCCACAAGCTGAAATTTCCCCTCACTTGGCAGACATGCTCTCTACTTAACAGTTTGAATTTCACCTTCCCAGCAGGTATCTCAAGGGGCTAAGGTATGAATTCTTAGCAGCTGTTTGTACAGGATCACTATGGGATCCAAACAAATGCAGCTCTGAGATTACTTGCTAGTTTTTCTTTTGGATTTTGGTTTTTTATAGCCATATCACAACAAAAACTGCTAATCTGGACTCAACTCTTTCTCCTTGTGGTCTCCAGTGTTTAACAGAAATCATCTAAATGCATAATTTTGCTGTTTGTGCTGTTGCACCTTTACCAGAAGCTGCGGAGTTATTTAGTGAGCACCGTGTACACATCCTCCCCTCAGCATCGGCTGTGCTCAGACAAGTTCTGAGCTAGACGGACCCAGGGGCTCACTAGTTGTAGCGCTCATGTTGTCACGTTCCGTTAATTCAACTGAGATGTAGGTCACCAGAGTCGGTTGGGGCAGCTAGTCTGATCTAGTCTGGGTCGGCATATCTGCCCCTACTTTGTGCTACCTACAAACTCAGCAGGCACTCTAACTCCTGGAGCTGTTAACAAAAGGCAGTGCCATTTTTTTGAGGAAATCCACTAAGACACCTCTACAGCCTGGTCATTTCTTTCCATCATCATTTGCCATGGCCTGGTCAGCTCTTCAGCCCTGGGAGAACTCTAAACCTCTCCTATCTTTCGTAACCCTACCTGTGCCCCTGGGTCACAAGCCTTGCCAAAATGGCCGCCTTTCAGATCTAGGACGCTACCCTTCTTCAAAAAAGTTCTCTTATCAAACAGTATCTGTCCGATATAGCTCTTTCAAGGCTAACATTATGTTTTAGCCTTGTTGTTTAGCCTTTTACGTTTAGCTTATGTTTTTCGGCATTACGTTTTATTATGTTTATTGCTATACCTCTGTTCTGTCCTTGAAAATTTAAGGGACACCAGTCTAAAGTTATAAAAGAGAGAAGAAATCTAGAGCAGCACTGTAAAATGCCAAAGAAAACGTGATCAAAAACCCTAATTAAAACTTCAAAGCACAACACCACGGCCCCGGCTCCGCACAGGTCAGCGATGCCATGTACGAATACATTTCGTTTGTTTTTTTTCTCTGTCAAAGGAAACGGCCCGTCTGGACCGCGAGGCTCCGCGGAGCGCTGCCAAGGCAAAACCCCGAGGCACAGCCCGCCCACGGCCGGCCGGCCGCC